TTCTTGTAACGTTGATGTCCCTTGTGCAAAAAAAGAACTCATTATTAGTTACCTCAACGTTAGACTCAAGGGCAAAAAGTGACTCGTGAATGCATTTTTTTTTAATTATACAAAACGTTCGAGTACTGTGTGCAAGTTAACCCAGCTAGTTTTGGATCCAAGTATTAGCGGAATATCTTTATCAAATTTTTCTAACCTGCGTTTTTGAATTTTGATCATTTTTTGTCGGAGAACGGCGAAATAAAAATTTCACAACGGTGCGCACTTTTTTGATTAACGGCTGCAAATCATCAGTCAGTTCAATAGAGTCATTCTCTTCACTCATTACAACTTGAAACCCGCCGGAAAAGTCTTCATCATTATTGGTTATGTTTGTGTCATCAGTATTTCCTCGTCACTTTCTCTGTTATTGCATATTACTTTCAAGTTTTTTTTGCAGAAATTGACGATTTTTTTGTACAAAATATCTTGAATACCTAGTTGAATCCCATGCCTAATGCACAACTGTTGATCACAGTTACTTAAACGCCCCACTTTCTACATTACCGAAACTTTTCATATTTACGTTAGTGCAAAATTCAAACATGCGTTCTACATTAAAGCGAGTGACGTAATGATAATATTTTAAATTGGTGCTTCATTATTTAATGAAAACACGAAAGTAAATAGAATACTTAAAACTTCCAGTCACGATCAAACAACGCTTCCGGTAAGAAAAAGATAGCTAGATGACAAAAGACGTGTTTAAATCGTCTAAAACAAGTATTCTACGTATTTTATACGTCTTAAACGCTAGCTGTTCGCTGGCTAGTTGCTAGCTCATTTCCTACCAAACCTAGTGGGAAATGAGCTGGCAACTAGATATTAAGTATATAGTACGTAGAATACTTGTTTTAGACAATTTAAACACGTCTTTTCTCATCTAGCTATCTTTTTCTTACCGGAAGCGTTGTTGAAAGTTTTAAGTATTTCATTTACTTTAGTGTTTCACGTAAAGAGTGCGATAGCACCTGCTATATCATAATCCCTCTACATATATTTTTAATACCGGTATTGAGCCAAACCAATACCGGTTTTTCGGTACTTAAAAATGTCCGGTAATACCGGTATTCCGGTACCAGTACAACCGGTATTGGAAGCACTACTGAGTACCACCTTAAAAACTACTGACTACTAATGCAATAAAATAGTAACTTATAATCAATAGAAACTGTTTAATAAATTCCCATAACAACAGTTGCAAATATATGAACAATTTAGCTCAAGAATATATAAGTTAATCCTAAAATCACAAATAGAGTGTTCTCAAACATAGATATTAAAACATAGATAGGCCCAACCTTTTCTTTTTTATTTCAAGGAAAACTGTTTGAAAATTTACGGCGGATGACATGGTGGAAATATTTACTTAGCTACATGATATGGAAACCAAAACTCAACAAGACATATACTTGCAGTCACTAATGGAGGTTTCCCCCAATTAGGGGTGTGTACAGGAAATTTTTTGGGTAAGTCCAACAACAACAACAAAAAAGTATGTCCCCCTCTGCCTCCCTATTTTTTTAGAGAGGGGGACCGGATTTTGACCGGACTGAGTGTATTTTATAAAAATGTTTTTATTCTTTAAATGACTTGTGACATTGATAAAATGGTCACTAAGGCTCAAAATATGATATTTGCAAACTAAAAAAACTATTTTTTGAAAATACTCAGTTGTCATAATGTATAATATATACAAATTAAAATTTTTTACAAGATTTGTAAAAACAATTTACAAGATTAATACAAGATTTTCCTGTGTAAATTTTTTTATATAACTTTATAAATAATATTTAATTATAAATAAACTTTATAAATACTTAAAGTCAAAAAACTTATTGCAATAACTGTACAATGCTAAATGGTTTTACAAAGATGTCAGCTATGAAAATAGCTGTTTACCAAAAAGCAGCTCAAACATTTAAAGTTATACTTTTATCGTATTTAAATTTTATTCAAAACACAACTCATAAGTATTTATAACAAACTTAAAAAAGTTTGTTGCTTTTAATGTTTCAGTATTATTAGATTAAAGTTCATTTTTAAAATTCAGGCAGTTAAGTGAAATTTATCTAAACTTCCCACAGATCAAATTTAAGTATAAAGCCTTTCGTTTGGAAATAATAAATAAACCTAATAAAGCCTTTGGTTAAACAAAAGACACTAAAACATATGATTTGGTCTTCCCAACTAGTATAACAAAACATTGAATTTCTGCAATTGTTTTTAGAAGAAACTGAATATTAGAAAGAAGAAATTAAAACACAGGTGCTTATAACACTTCAAAATTGTATCAATCTAACATTGTGTTAAACTCAGTAATCTAGATAAAACTCAGATAGTCTAGCAAGAAACAGCGATAACTGTGCAAAATTTGTTTAGTTTTAGCTGTGGTTTGGTTTTAATAGTTACATATAGTAAAATTTTTTCAACAATATAATCAAGTTAAAAAACTTTTACTTAATTTTTTTGGGTACGTCCAACGACGTAGCAGACATCCCCTAGACACGCTCCTGCCCCCAATTAACCGTCAAAAATCTAGATCAGGTTCTTCTTCTGCAAAACCTAAATCTTTCGTAGTGAAGTACCATATTATGCATAATGGGGTTCGTACTAAAATATGTATAAAATGGATTTATGAAATCATACGGATTTACTTCCAAACAGTGTTACAGGCTCTCGCATTTGTTACAGCTAAGCAAAACTCCAGTAGATAAGAGGCAGATTGTTTTTGTTAATGCCATTTCTGGCACTGTAATAACTCGTTTGAGAGCTTATATTGGACAATAAAGAAAATAATATCCTACAGAAACTGAACACAATACTGGTAGAGATAAAGAATACTTACCAGCTAATTTGCACTTGATATTATGAATTCTCCTCCTTAAGGCCGAGAAGATCACTACAGACGAGGAGGCTACTTATTTGTGGTTATATATAACCCTCTCTCAACTCTATAATTCCAAAACACGAACCTTGACGAACAAGGACGTTGCGCGGAGAAACGAGTTGATGAAGAAACTGATGAAGTTTATCAATTTGCATTTGATATTATGAAACTGATGCAGTAATTAATCTGATTAACAGTTCTTCAAAAATTACTGGAAAGTTTACTGTGAAAAAAATGTCATTTGAAGATTTTATTGACTATGGGACCTGATGGCCCAAATTTTACAAGAGAACATGCTTAAGCAATAAATTTTACAAGAGAACATGTTTAAGCAATAAATTTTACAAGAGAACATGCTTAAGCAATAAACTTTACAAGAGAACATGCTTAAGCAATAAATTTTACAAGAGAACATGCTTAAGCAATAAATCTTATGGGAAAAATGTACTAAAATCTAACAAAATAACAAGTGAGATGTCAGTTTCTTCTGGTGAACCAGAGGAGATTGAATGCAGTATGCATATTGCTGGATTGATAAGTGACATTTTTCGCTTACGAAACACTATAGGGGACTTTGAACTACCAACTGATAAAGCTTATTCAGCTGTATTATTTATCAATCACTTAAAAATTAATAATATAAAGAAAACTTTGGTTTATATTCCGGATAAAAAGCTCCAATTTTGGAATGAAATAATGTTATGGCTTGTAACTACTGTGTCCATTCAAGAAGATCAACCAACCGAGTAAATAATGTTTTTAAGTTGTACTGTGCATTTTATTATGATAATAAAACAATAAAATAGCATTATTTAATTGGCGTTCCCTAAAATAAAGCACTTTTTAAGATTTTAGGTCTTTTTTATTTTTAAACCTCATTTACTGCAAAAAGGTATCATGTCCATGTTTAAAAATTTGTCCTACACTCATAACAAAATACATTTAAAAATTATGTATATATCTTGTATAGATATATACATAATTTTAAATGTATTTTAGACCCCTATAATTATTAAATAACTAAGAAAAATTGAAAACCCTATATGTAAAAATAAAGGGTCGAAACAGTTTTTCGTCTTTCCAGTAAAATTAGGATTTGAGGACTTGTTGCCTTTTTGCGGTTAGCGATTCAAATATATCTTGAGATATCTTATTTTTTCTTGTGAAAATTGACATTTTTGATTTTCAAAAAGTCTTAAAACCTAAAATAATGAATTAACTTTAAAATCTCTAACTAAATATGGACTTAACACACTAAGAACCAATTGTGGAATTTTTATATAAATGGAGTAAAAGATAAGTATGAGTTTTTTTCAGATGTTTCAATGTGACTTTTTGACTAAATTTCATAAAATTGGTGGCTATTTTAAAAAAATATTTCTTTAGTATTTAATTAAAAAAAAACAACTATTTTTTAAGACTTGTATGTTAAAATGTATGTTAAAATGTAAATGTTATAAAATTTTTTATACTTATACAATTTTTCTTATAAATTTAATAAAATTTTTTATACTTATAGAATATTTCTTGCACTATTTAGATAAAAAATTTAGATAATAAATGTTAAACGGAACTGACTCCGAGTAACTATAATAACACTTTAACAAAAATCTTTTTCACGCTTTTACTACTATATAAAAAAAACTAAATATTTTTTTAAGGCTATAATTAAAACTTTTGCGTCAAAACAAGCGCAACCTAAAACCCCGTCAAAACATACGCAAAGCAAGCGATAGAAACATACACAAAGCAAATGATAGAAACGTACGCAAAGCAAGCGATAGAAACGTACTCAAAGCAAGCGATAGAAACAGATTTCTTAAAATGAAGTTACTTTATTACTAGTTAAACGATTTCTCAAAAAACTTTTTCAAAAGATTAGTATAAAATATAAAAAAAAAAATCTCTTGCGCATATTAAAAACAAATGAGAATTATAAAATTTTAAAAAACTTGTACCATTGAGCAACATTAACAGCGTTAAAGTTGTAATAATGCAAACATGTTCAAATAAATTGTTAAACACGTGTCTATTAGATTTTATGGTGTAAATATTAGTAAAAAAATAAATAAAATATGATTTATAAAACAATTGATAATTATGTACAAACGTCTAATGTTATTTACAGATATAAAATATTAAATCATTCGAAGGATGCTGATATAACAGACAACCGTCTTGAAGATAAAGTTTCTAGAGATTCCTTCATTATATATTCTCGTATACTAGAAAAATGCACATGCTTATAATTACATGAAATTCAAAAACAACTTTAAAATATTTGAAAAAGAAAAATAATAATTTGATACCATCTACAACAAGTCGGTGCAAATCCTTTATTGCCAGTCCCTGAGGTTAAGCAACCCTTCATGAAAACTTCAATGCGTGTAGGATGCATTCTTCCCCAGTCCTAAAAAGTAATAACACTCGATAAAAATATAATAAATTGTTTCGGAGTCCAAAAACAAAAATACAAAATTCTTTTTTTATACAGCTCTTTTCAAGATTTATTTTAACTATAATATTATAATATAACATAAATTTCGCTGTTTAATACCTTAAGTTTTTCGTAAGTGTCGCCCACTATATTTATAAATGTACTCAGCACGATGTAAATGAACAATGATATAAAAGCGTATAAGTAGATTTTGCTAAACACCCAAACAGAGGTGTTCATAGGGCTCATGTTTAAAAATGTTGCATATATATCATCGCCATTAAGTAATGAGAATAGACCTTCAGCCGTGGACAAAAACGTCTGGAACTAAAATCAGACATTGTTATGTTTTCAACATTATAAAAAGTATATATTTAACTATAAAATTATAATAAAAATACCTTAGGATGATACGGACCCATGACTATCCATCCACACAATGTGAAACCAGTAAAAATAAACACGGCGCAAAACGTAAAACGAATTAGATTCGGTGCTGCATAACGTAGAGCAATCAATAAAATCTATATAAAAAAAGAAGCTATTCAAATTGAAAAAAAAATCGTGTAACTTGAATGGTACTTCGTGGTACGGCTCGGTTTATAGTTGCTTTTAGCTGTTAATCTGTTTTCTCAGATTTCTTTTGAAGTATTTATTGTGGAATAAAAATGTTATAACAACTTTTTTACTGTGACTTGAAAATGTAACAATTTTACATATTTGTTGAAAAAGCTGAAATAAAACTTAAAACTAGTTTACTTTACCCAATTCAATTCAGTGTTGTTTGTTGGGGGGGTGATGATCTCACTGGGTGAAACCATTTATAGGAGTCACATCAAATTGCCATATATTGTTGTTTATGATTCCGTCACTCTGTAAAAGTTTTGCTGTACTTTTTATCAGTAACCATTGTTCTTTATATTTACGTATAATAGTAAAAAGTCTTAAAAGTTATCATATTACTTAATTCACTGTTGTTTGTGGGGGGAGGGGTAATCATATTACTTAATAACTAGAAAATAATGATCTAAAAATTATGATGTTTTAATAATACAACAATGCTGCCACTATATCTGGAACACACTGGTGTGGACGTTTTAAAATAAAGAAAACAGAAAAACGTTTTAATTAATGTGAGGACAAATAACTTACTCAGTAAACAAATGCTAAAACTATATCGTGTAACTTCTTCAAGAATAAGGGATTGTTCAATTGGCGTATATACGTACATACTTTATGAACGACCCCTAATGCTCAAGTGTACAGATCCTTTTCATTATGAACATCAGATGAAATAAAATGCTATTCTCAAGGAAGCAATCATGTTTGGAACTTTAAACACTTGCTTTTTGTTCAAACTATTAAAAGTTTTAAATATATAAAATCATATAAAACCATTAAGAATCTTTTAAATTGTTCTGCAATTTTAGTCCTTAGTTCTCTGAATATCTTTTATGAATTTCACAAAAGTATAAAAAAATAAATAAATGTATTTACAAAAATTATCAAGGATTCATTATTAGGACTAAGTGGCATGGAAGCAGTCATGAAGGAACTTATATTACATGAAAAAACAAATTTTTATCAAAGTTTTCATTTGTAATTTTGATGTTTCTAGATAAATATTTGCATGATAATTCTGAAAATTAATTTTTGTTTTTATCTCGCTATATAAGTTTTGGAGATCAGTTAATCCTAAAGGTAGAAGTAAAAGTTAAATTTACAAGCCTGAGCATAAGTAAACATATAAGTTAACTTTTAAAAGTTCAGAAATATACTTTAAATTAATTTTGTTTTCTGTGAGAGGAAATATTACTACAGAACAAACTCAAGATATAGTCACCCATCATGGCTTTAACTCATCTTCCTTGGAACTAGTTCTCCATAACCTGGATGTCATGTTGAAACTGTTCTCCATGTTATTCACTAACATCCTCTAGATTTGAGCGGAAAAGGTTGAGATAAGAATGTAAACAGCGGAGCTTGTATATTTTCCTAAAGAGAAGATAATGATCAGATGGATGTGTGGTATGACTCTTACAAGACAAGAAAAGGAGCCATAATCTTAAACATTAGAGATTATCTTAGCCATATAGATTAGAAAAAATGTTGTATCGAACAACATTGGTCAGAGAAGATGGTTTGGGTATAGCATGTAAAGAGGGTAGCAGCTTTAGGGGAAAAAAGTAGAGGTAGAAGTAAGAAAACTTGGAGAGAATGCATTGCATATGGTATGAAAAAGCTTTAGGTAAGCAAAGAAAGTGCAAGTAATTTTTTATATTAGAGAAACAGTATTAAAAGGAATAGGCTAAAGCTTGATGATGATGATAATAACGATGATGATCAGGTGGATCATAATGATTTTTATATAAAGATATACATACATATATAAAAAATATAACATGAATTTTGAATAAAAAAAATATACTTTAGGATCTATCAATATTTATGCAGCCCAGATCACAAACCTAACCCTGGTATTTTTTATCAAACCCGGCCCTGGCTCCTGCTAACTTTAAACCCTGGTCAATTACTATGGTTAAGTAAACACACCAGCTAAAACCTTGGCATTAGATAGTTTAGGAACTATTAATCTGATCATCTTAAATGGTTCACCACAGTGATTCAGTGCTTTGACAAACTGTTTGATTAAACTCAATTTTAAGTTGTAAACTCCTGGCTGAAAAACTTTTCATTTACATTCTTCAACAATCTTCACATTGTTGTAGTCTTTATTTAGCTGTACTTAATGGTTGAAAGGTGTTGATTTGGAAAGTTAAGTTAACCATATTGCCAAGTTTCATTTTCTTGCATTTCCATATAATTGTCATTGTGACCATCAACCATCATCATTGACCTCTGGTTTAAAGACTTTTAAACGATGGTGGATAGATGAGCTTAACTTTATCTATTCTATTAAATATTTCAAACATCTGAATTATGTATCCTCTTAGTCTTCTCTTATATAGAGTTCCTAAATTAAGCCTAGCAAGACAAACCTCAAATAAAATGTTTTTTAGACAGAATAATTTTAGTCAATCATCTTTAAATTTTTTCTAGATTATTAAAATCTTACTTTATATTTGAAGATCAAACTGAAATAGTAAATTCAATAGGTGTTGTAAAAATACTTTGCATACTAACTTAAGCAAATATTTGAAAAGGATGTTATAATCTATTTTTTCCACTTGAGATCATTTGTAAGTTTTACTTCCATCTCTGAAATATTTGTTTTAAGTTCTCTTTTATCAAGTAGACAAGAATGACTCTCTTTTTTATAAGACATTTTTCATTACTTATTTATTATAATTTATTTATCATACTTTATTTATCATTATTATTTAAAAGACATTTATCCATATTAAAGTCCACCATTTTATTTAACAAACAAAACAATTTTCATTCAAATCAACTTAAACAATTTCTACATTTTTTGTTATTTTTGACAAAAAGATTGTTGTATAACCAGCATAAAATTTTGTTATATTTTAATGCAATCAGACAAATCGTTAATAAATATTAAAAATGATGTTTCAAGCACAGATCCTTGAGGTACACCACTTGAGGTACACCACTTAAAACACTAGAATTTTGTTTACTTTAGCTTTGTTTTTGAAAGTTTGATTTTTGAGACTCAGGAAACCCATTTATTAATTCTAGCATTTATAACTATAAATTGTTCTATTGGTGGTTTATTTCTTGAAACAAATGATGTCCAGTTATGAACTTATGCAACACTTTCAGATATGTTTTGTTAAATTCCAAGTACAATTTTTCAGATTGCTTATTTTAGAATCTTGACTCTCCTTTTTTTTTTGTGTATTTTTTTTTTGAATGTTTGTCATTTAACTTTTACTTATTTCCCTTTGTTAGTCAGATTTGATAGAGCTTTAATAGACTTTTTAATAGAAATAAAGATGTAAACATAATTATTGTCAATTGTTAAAAAATTTAATACAATTTAATAGTATTATTCAACAAATTTCTCCACCACAGCAAAAAACAAAACAAAAACATTACAGAAACAGTAAACTTTTTCAGGATTATCAGTAATAAAATTTATAACAAATGTAAATGTTTTTAAAAATGAAACACATCATTTACAATAATGAATGTAAATATGTTAACCTTTTTGATTTAAAATTTAGACAAAGCTGATTTTAAAAAAAGTGTTATTATGAACCAAAAACAATTAAAAGTTTTCCAATACCAGTTATAAAATAACTAATTAAACTTTTATATGAAAAAACAGAGTAAACTTATATATGAATCATGAAAACTTACATTAAATGATTTCAAATAGGTAAAAAAGCGCAACATGCCAATCCAAGCTAGCACCACTCCAAGACCTAGCAGCACACTGCAAATATTGTAAAACTGAATATCCTATATACAATTATCAAGATATATATATATATATATATATATATATATATATATATATATATATATATATATATATATATATATCTTGATAATTGATATATCTTGATAATTGATATATATATATATATATATATATATATATATATATATATATATATATATATATATATATATCTTGATAATTGATATATATATATATATATATATATATATATATATATATATATATATATATATATATATATATATATATATATATATATATATATATATATATATATATATATATATGTATATATATATATATATATATATATATATATATATATATATATATATATATATATCCTATATACTTATATATACATATGATATATCCTATACCCTATATATCCTATATATAGATATGATATATCCTATATATACAGGGTTGGCATTAAAAAACCCGCCCAATAAAACCCAAAAAAAACAGCCTAAAAAAACCCAATAAAACCCTGGAAAATCTGGGTTTTATTGGGTTTTTTTAAAGATATTTAATAAGTTTATGAACTGTTATAACCAACTTTAACATTATAACTATAATATTATTAACTAAAATAATTATTAACTATTATTATTAACTAAATTATTATTAACTATTATTATTAGCTATTATAACCAACAATAACAGCTATCAGAGCAGGTTTACTATTATTTGAATCATTATTTGGAAATACATTATTACAATTTTTATTCAAATATTTTTATCAATTGAGATTTTTATTACTTTATGTTATTCACCTCCCAAGTTGAATTTAAATGAGTAGTAGTGACCAGAGAAGCCAACACAACAGTCGAGGAGGCTACCTTGTTGTGGTTACAATCCTCTCTCAACTCTTACGCGGTAGTGGTGTTGTGGTAGAGCGCTCGCTTCATAAGTGAGAGGTTCCGAGTTCGATCCCCACCACGTCTCTGGCAGTACCGCGCTCAACTCCTTTCTCAGCGCAGCGGCCTTGTTCGTCAAGGTTTGTGTTTCAGAGTTATAGAGTTGAGAAAGGGTTGAAGTGGCCTTAAGCCTTGAGGAAGTTAATTGATTAAAAAAAAAAAACTCTTTAATTCCTAAACACGAATCTTTATAAACAAGGCCGCTGTGCAGAGGAACAAGTTTGTTCATTTGAATTTCAAGTTCAAAGTTTAATTGAAACTTCAGTTACTACCTCCCATTCTCTAGCCTTCTTTTTCCCATTTTCTCATTGACATTTTTAATTATATAGAATAATACTTTTAAATTTAAAATAAATCAATACATATAGATTAAGCGTAAAATTTTTTTTTTCTATTACAGTTTTGAATTATATTTAAAAATCTTTTTCAAAATAATTTTATTAAATTCTTGTTATAAATAATTAAACAACAATATATAAAATATATTTTAAATAAAGTTAAATTAGAAAATGAAACTAATTTTCAATATCATTATACAAAAACACAAAAAAAGTTTTTACAGAGACAAAATAAAAATTAAACTCAAAAAAAACCAAATTTACCCAAAAAAACCCACTGGGCCGGGTTTTTGCCAACCCTATATATATATATATATATATATATATATATATATATATATATATATATATATATATATATATATATATATATATATGTGTGTGTATATATATATAAATATATATATATATATATATATATATATATATATATATATATATATATATATATATATATATATTATATATATATATATATATATATATATATATATATATATATATATATATATATATATACACACACTTTATACAAAAAATTTAAACGCACTTGTTTTTTTAAAAGTTAAGGTATGTTTAAAATGGTACAAAGAGAAAATATGAGGCAAGGTACAGGTTTTTTTTTTATTATTATAATAGAAAAAAACACAACTTTTAATTTAAAAAAACACAAAATCTTTTCTAAAATTAAATAACAAATTCAAGTAATCAAAAGATTACTTAGAAAAAAGTGCAATAAAGTTTAAACGCACCTACAACTTCTTTTAATCAAAATATATTAATACGAAATATGACCCCCGTTGTTTTTAATACATGCTTATATTTGTCTTGTATTTGTCTTGTTGAAATAACCAGTTTTGATCAGCCTGGAACAAATCGTGACTAGGGATAAATGCGTTTTCCAAAATGTCATGATACTCATACTGGTTTAATTTTCCTTTGTATATTTTATGACAGCCAACGCCTGAGGCTGATATACATCCCCATATGCTGACAAAACCACCACCTTTTTGAATATGGCTTAATAGGTGTTGCTTCAAATATTTTTCTGTATTTTTGCGATGAACAAATCTCTTGTTTTTTCTGTTAATAATTTCGAAATTTGATTCATCACTAAAGATAATCATTTTCCATTGTTTTACTGAATAATTTAAACACTTTTTGCACTATTTTTTTCATCTTCGGCGATCGGTTAACATCAACAAAAGCTTTCTTACACCATGAAATGAATTTAATTCTTTCTCGCATAATAACTTACTTCTTGTCATTCGACTAACTGTTTTGTCTACCAGCGAACTATTGATTTCTGCACTTAAAGTTGATACTCCCATTTTTGGGTTATGTCTGCTTAGCGTGTAAAACATGTTTTCATTGTGTGCTGTCAGTTTTTTCGGACGCTTAGTACAAGGTTTATCATTGACACTACCAGTTAATAAATAATTTTTTATTGCTGTATGAACGCTGAATTCAGAAACATTTAGGCACCTGCCAATTTCTCTATTGCTTATTTTCATTTTATGTATTCCAATGACTTGCCATTTTGTTTTCAATGAAATAGCTTTTTTACCCATGAAAATATGATATTTTGACCAAGTTGGATCAGTTAAAAATTGCTAGATTTTGAATCAAATCATAGTTGTGGTTTTTATTCAAAATAAAATAAGAATAGGGATCCAAATGAAATATACTAATGTTAACAGGCTGTAGAGTGATAAAAATGCATAAGACTTCAATAAAAAAGTCTGTCAGCAATTACCAAGTCATAGTCAAATTGGACAATTTAAGGTTATTTTTAGTTTTTAGTGTGGTTGAAGTTTAAATGTGATTTATTTCAATTTAAAGCATGTGTTTTATTTAATTAATTTTTTTTTTAATTATTTTTAACAATAATCATTAATTCACTATCTTTAAATAAAGGATTTTATGTTGTTTTTTTTCTGTTTATGTAAAGACACCAAGTCTAGTCATTTTTTTAATTTTTTTATTTAAATATTCAGCTATGGGAAAAAAAATGTGAAACGACACCAACAAAAATTAGTCAAATCAGATGTCTTTTACAAATGCAAAAAATTGTACTTATTGTAAAGGTTTCTCACCAACCTGTAATTTGAGTGAGAAAAAAAATGTATACAGGGTGAAGAGTTTGGTCTAAGGTGACCACCTTCTAAACGCAAGACAACACCAAGAGCAGACTGTATAACCTAAAATATCTACCTGGAAAACAGAAAAAAGCCACAAAACATATTGACTAAGCTAATCCATAAAGTTGGTATTGTTGTTTCAGGCCGGAACATTTGCAGAAGGCTGAAAGAAGAGGGATTAATATTGTCCAGCCAAGAAACCAAAACTAACTTCACTCATGAAAACGAAGTGAAGAGTTTCATTCTGACTGCATTGTGGAAACAGTCAAGCATCCAGCTTCAGTAATGATCCGGTTTGTCATTTGTGGGCAAAGAGCAGAGTGTCTCTACAAAGTGGTTGGGACAATGAGGCAGGTCCAGTATAAAGAAATGCTGGAGAATCAGTTGCTTCCCCAAATGGCAGATTGGTCTAAAAATGTCAAAAAATTCATAAAAAGTCACAAAATGCCAAAAACTTTACATTTATGCAAGAAGGTGCAACTTGCCATACAGAAAAAAGTGTTATGGCTTATTTAAAACAGAAAAAAGTTGATGTATTGCCATGGCCAGTAGGGTATATCATACTAAAGCCAAAAATTAAATTTTTAGAATTTTGACTAGCACGCTTGGATTCCTATGTATTCGGGTATAGGGAATTCAAATATAATAATATTTTTACAAAATATTGATGTCTAGCTACCGGGAAACAGGTTTTAAAATTAGTTTTTTTTTTTTTTTAAATTAGTTTATTTTAACTAAAGCTTAATTTTGGAAAGGTTTTAGTCAATTAATACTAAAAACTACAATTATATTAGGTAAAAAGTAAACTATGTGAAATAAAACAGATATAATTATTATTTAACTTCCAGGATTCTAGATCCAGAGGGCGTAAAAAGAACTACGGCTCCCCTCCCTGGGTTAGAGCGCCCCATGTTTCTCTTTTTTCAATACTTGATAGTTTTATTATGATTATAAGATCAAGGTATATTACAATTATTATATATATATATATATATATATATATACCCACATACTGGATTAGGAGTAAGGGGGGCTTTCACCCTACGCAAAATGAATTATTCCACCTTTCCATCCAGACATTTCATTTGTAGTACCACTGCCAATTAGTTGGAGATTAAGATCTTTACCTCTTTCCATTAACCAGTTGAATAATCCAATAGCACATTGCTTGGCTGGTTTAGATGTTTCTGACTTAGGCTTTGGTGTATAATGAGTAAGGTAACCACCTCTAGGTTCTTCTGTCACAGTTATATGATTTTCTTTGATAATTTTTTTTCTGAAGGTGCCTGTGGTTTTATCATGGATAAGAATTAAAGTTTTGTCTTTTCTACCATCAACAAAAATTCCAGTGATTATATTTCTTTCACAGTCGAAATTTTCTTCTATTCTGGAATACTTCATAGCATGCTCTTTGGCACGAAAAACTTTCATGCTATCACATATAAGATTTTTTTTATCTTCAACAAGTTTCCCTGCTTTCATAATATCTTTCAGTAGACCATTAATGATTGCAGCAGTAGCAGTCGATGATACACCAAATCTAACAGAAGCAACGGCAGCATTACTAATATCAAGGTAGTTTCGCTTAACATAATTATCTTGCTTTTCTATGGTCGAGTCCTCTTTGCTATCACTGACTATATCACTATCACTAACTTTATCGATATCACTGACTTCTTCACTATCACTGACTATCACATCATTTGAATTATTATGCATTTTTATTGTAACATCCACATTTTCAACATCAAATCTAACTGCCGGTGGATAAGTTGTCTCTAATGACTCTAACTTAGATTTTGAAGCTTCTTCTCGTTGTCGTGCGAGTCTTGCTTGATCGATTGACTTGCGTAAGTGTTTTAACCTAAGTTTGGCAGTCTCTTTAACATCCAAACCAAATTCTTGCATAGATGAAATACTGCCTTGTTTTTCTCGCTGGTTTTTTATCCAAATAAGCTCTTTTTGAGGAATTCTTAAATTTAAGTCACATTTGCAAAGGCAATGAGCACCGCTATCACAAGATTCTTTGCAAGGGGGATCATTCTCACTGCAGTAAACAATTCTGCATTTGCAAAGACCAATATCTAAAAGTTTATCAAGATTAGGCTTCCAGTGTTTTATGTAAGATTTTTGAGATTTGTTTTGAGCTATCTTAGAGAATGCAGACCAACTACTACTGAGTCTTAGTGTTATTCCTTTTCTTCCACAAACTATGGGTTCTTTAAATTCTGTGTTGGAAATAAGCCATCGTTCTGCAACCTCATAAGCAACATTAGAAAAAATTTCTTGCATTGATAAATTACGCTGATTTTTTTCATAGACTAGTATTCTGTCTCGCTGCAGATCCAGACAACGCTGTAAACAGTCACGTAAGATTCGAAGTTCAGTTTGGAGGAACTTTCAATATTTATAAGGTATATTTGTATATTAACTGATACTTATACATAAAATAATTTTTAAAAAAACTCAAAACATATTATCAAAATTAAGCATAGGGCTAAACAGTATTTTAAATAATTATTATGTACATTTATAGCATAAATAGTCATCAATTAGAAAAAAACACAATATTTTTGGTAAATTAAAAACGTTTTTCAGGTAGCAAAACTTGTTTTTTCACTAAAAAAAATTATACCATTCAACTCAGGGTATATGAATACATAGGAAAAGTGATGTACTGAATGAAATTCATAACATGCAAAAGTATGATAAACCCTAATGGCCAGGCAACTCATCTGATCTTAAACTTATAAAAAACATTTGAGAAATAGTAAAGCGAGAGATTGGAAAAAAATTCTTACTAACAAGGAAGAGATTATTAGGATCTGGCACAATAAACCAGAGTTGACTAAAAAAAAATCAATTGCAAGCATGCCACGACGCATCAAACAGTTATTGCAAATACAAAATTTTAATACTTTAATAATATATATTTTATATAATTTATTGTAATAACCAATAAATATTTAAAATGTTTAACCATATTAGGTGCACTGCACAAACCAAAAACTAGAGCTAATCCAGTTTATTGTCATTATTATCATAATTAGTACCTCATTAACAGTCATCTAAAATCAACTCATTTGGCTACTTTTAATTAATTTTAATTGGTGTCAATTATGTTTTTCTGCTTTGCATCAAAATCTTAGTATAAAAGTTGAAAATGTGAAAGTGACAAGTTTGAAGAGACTTAATTAATATCGCTAAGGGGTCTTCCATAATGTACATACATACCATTCCATACATAAACAGTAATAGGAGAAGGGCGAATTACCTAAAAATATATGAACGCGTACAAGGGGGAGGGAGTGTCAAAGAGGGCAAGTACTAAAACTTGATTTTTTTTTTTTTTTGAAAAACAAACAAGAAATCAAAATTATGTACTTTCAAGAGAAACATCATCTCACTTTTAATTGAGATATTGATCTTTTTTCTGGAAATTATCTTAGACATGTTATAATAAAAAATGGTAAAGGTAATACAATAGCTTCAGAAACATTAATTTTCCTAACTGAATAAAATGGTTTTGAAAGTTTATGAGCATTTTTTCTTGAAAATACATGTTTTAACACTAGTGTAGATGATTTAGTTCCCAAATTTAAAAAGCTTTTAAGATGTAGCATTCATTTAGTATGTTGTTTGCTTCACCAGTGTGAGCTACAACTTTGTCATGTTATATCTGAAATAGATAGAAAAATAAATGACCCTAAAAAGTATGAATGCCCAATTGGTGAACAAGCGTCTAACATATTTATGCATGAAGAACCATTGATTCAGTTTGTTTTCAAAGAACCAGAGATAGAGTTGTATGTAAATACTGACATTGTTTGTGATCTGAGTACAGACTAGCAAAACTTTATGAGTATTGTATTGGAATTGCTAAAAGTTCTATTTCTACAAAGTATGTTAACAAGAAACCTAGCCCAGATTACCATGTATGGTGGCTAACTCTTGCTTTATGAATTATGATGGTTTATGCTAGAACTAGATACTTACATATGATTTAAATTGCATCACAAAGTTCATATCCCAGGTTTACTGTTTAATGTGATTTGTTTCAAAAACTTCATAGAATTACAAAGGTGCACCAAGGGTTCTTCATAAAACAATACTGTTAGTCAATAAACAGGATAACAGAATATTAAAAAAGTTAATGGATGCCTGAAAAGACATAACTTCATTCTAGCTAAAAACCAGAGGTGGAAAGTAACGAATTACATTATTTCACGTTACTGTAATTGAGTAGTTATTTTATGAAATTCTACTTTTTAAGTATTTTTTTAAATGTGTACTTTTACTTTTACTTAAGTATTTTTTTCTAAAGTATTGTACTTCGCTACATTTGAAATCATATGCGTTACTGAGTAAAAATATTTATTATGTATTCTTTTATTTCACAAACACAATGATTAAATTTTTTTGTTTTTTTAAGTTTTGCTCACTTTAATAAAAATGACACTTTTAAATTGTTTAAAAAAAAATGTTGAGCGCGCTCATAACAACTTTTAACTGCTTTAGCTTGGTTTTTTTTCACTTTTTAAGACCATAAAAAAAAATTCTGTGCGAAAAAAAAATTTATACAGAAAAGAATAGACTACGTGATTTGTGTTTTTTTATTTAATAGCTTTGTTATCTGAAAAAGTAACACAGTAACTTTTAATCTTAGTATATTTTTAATAAAGTACTTTTTACTTTTACTTGAGTAAAATTTCACTCAAGTAACAGTACTTTTACTTGTGTACAATTTTTTTTTACTTATTCCACGTCTGTTAAAAACCAAAGCAGATCCAAAAACAAGAAAAACATAAAAAAGCAAAATATTGTATACTTTTACAAAAATAATTTTACAAAATTGTATGTTACAAATATATATTGAAATTGAAAATCATTTTTCTAAGACTTAGGCAATTGAGACACATAAATATGAGCTCAATGAACTCTTTTAAGGAAGGATATTCACTTCAAGATCTGTTTTAAAAACATCCAGCTTGGTATTACTTTCATTAAGAAGATTATAATAAAAGTTAATTTAGGGCATGTTATAAATTTAAAAAAATAAAGAACTCATTTTAAAGAAAATAAACAAAAACTGTGGAAGTTGCGATGTTAAAAATGTATGGCCCTCTGTGTGATACAAAGCCCCAAACAGAGCCAGTATGAAGAGTTTGTTAAATAGGGTTGTATGGTAATGCTATTTGCCAACTTAAAAAAAAAAATTCATAGATCTCTAACATTTGTCAACAAAGTCCATTTTTGCTGACTGTCCTAAATAAAATTCATTGTTTTTGGAAGAGATGTTATGCACCCTTGTATTAAAAACCTGGCCCCAACTGCAGTGACTGAAAGATTTTATCATGCAATTGATGAAGGCAGCAAGGCTTTCATCAATTGCATTGACACAAGGACTAGAGCTATTGCTTTTAACATATCTAAAGCTTTCAATAAAATTTGGCTTCTCCATAAACTTGCAGACAGCTGATCTTGAATCTGATCTTACTTTCATAAAAGATTGGGGCTTGCAGTGGCTTGTAAATTTTAACTCCAATAAAATTCAGTTTTTTACTGCAAACAACTATCCCAATACTGTCAAAATTCCTAAATTGATGAATGCCAACCCTCTCATTGAGTTCCCTGCCTAAAGTCTTTTTTTATTATCATTCACTTCAGGCCTCTCAAACCATGTATACAATAAACTACTAAACTAGCATCTGCCAAGGTTCCTTCTCTTAATGGTTCTTTCCATTGTCTTATTCCTGATTCCATTGTTTACCTCTACAAATCTCTTATTCATCCCTGTTTGAAATACTGTTGTCATATTTGGGCTAATTCTTCTAATGATGCTTTTCTCTTCTAGACAAGGTACAAAAATTGCATTGTAAACATAGATAGACCTGCTTTATTTGCTAAGCTTGCCATATTCGTGAGAATGCATCTCTTTCTCTTTTCTAAAAACTTTATCATGGCTGTGTCATAGGAGCTATCATCTCTAGTTCCATGAACAAAAACTCATTCGTGCATGAATTGTTGTGCAACAAAAATTACTGCCTGCTCTAATAACTTTTATTTGTCTAGATTTTTTCAGCACTTTAACCCTTTGGAACTTCATGTTTTCCTGACTCATATAATATAAAATTTTTCGAGTCTTTTGTCAACCATTTTATTGTTCTTTATCTCTATTTTTTATTTTCGA